TCTGTCTGTCTGTCTGTCTGTCTGTCTGTCTGTCTGTCTGTCTGTCTATTGTCTGTCTGTCTGTCTGTCTGTCTATTGTCTGTCTGTCTGTCTGTCTGTCTGTCTGTCTGTCTGTCTGTCTGTCTGTCTTCCAGCACTATTAAACTGCCATACATCAATGTGTTTCTCTTTGCTCAGGCTCTGTAAAGTAATTTTAAAATGCTGCACACTATAGTTTTTTATAGACTAGTTATTTTGACAAAGTTTTTATATATATATAAATCAATATATATACATGCTCATGATTTTTACAAGGATGAAATGTTTTATTCAGTGAAGAGAACACTTCTATATCTGTTGACTAGCGGAGACCCAGAGCTCTATATATATCGGCTAATTCTGGGATGTTTGAGTTTACAGCAGTGGAGATATTAAGGCTTTAATTAATTGTTACATGTGATTTACGTTGTGAGACTCTGGTGTTTTAGAGAAATACTGACTCCTGTATCTGTAACATGGGCATTAATAAAAGCTGTTACGTTTGTTCAAAATGTTTTTCTTTTTCTTTTTGTAAGTGTTTTACGACGCTCGCAACTGCATAAGGTCATATGAGCGCACAGGACACATTAAGCTTTTTCATTTTGGTAGGAATTAATTTTGAATTTTGCCCAGGCGGCAGCTGAAGCCTACTCGTATCGATTTTTCACCACAAAGGTATCTTTTCCATTTGCACAACTTGCAAACAGGACCTCAAAGTTTTTTCGCCCTTATCTGAGAAAGCTATAGATTAATAGATCTTATTATATCTACCCTTAGATAAGGGGTGTGGCTGAAAGACAGCAGTAGTAGCTAGGAAGGAGCCAAGGAGTATCAGTAGAAAAACTGAAGAAAGAGTCAAAGGAGGTGAGGGAGGGGGGGGGGGGCAGAAAGTGGAGATGAGAGCAGACGACAGAACATGGTAATTTAAGAGAGCAGGAAAGGATGTAAAAGGAGAACATTTTAGTCTATAAAATTTTCTTTCGCTATACGGGACACAAGGTGTCCTTCTTTACAATCCTTTTGGAACTTGCTCTCATTTCAGAACTCTGACCCACCTCCACCCCCCCAAAAAACCCAACAAAACAACAACAACAAAAAACAACCACTCAGACACGTACTGTCGTATCTGATTCCTTCTCACTTTGCCTCCCACTCACACTTAGCTCCGCAGCCAGTCTCTCTCGAGTCCTTGTGCAGGTGAAAGTGTTGGTGAAAGTGTTCTGTCTGCAGACTGCTCTGAATCTCGGACAAGTTGACATGACATGACATCATCTAGTTCTGTGACAGGGCACAGAGAATTAAGAAGCATCCTCACGCATGTGTGTCTTTTTAACTAGATCTATTGAATTTGTCCTCATAATGAACACGTTTACACAACGACACACCTAAATAAAGGCAAGAAAACAATCTTACACACAAACACTTAAAACAACAACAACAATAACATGACAACTACAACTACAACAACAGAAAATATACTAATGATAATATTTTTACAAAAAAATGATAACTTATAGCCCATATCAACGATTGATTTTTACAACGAGCCAAAGATGTCAACTCTCGTCTCGCGAGACTTGCTAATTCTGTGCTCAGTTACCCATGTAAACAACATGGCGGCATTTCGATCGTGAAGAACTTTCCGCAGTGTTTGAGGAAAAGGGAGCTGAGGGCCTGTATATCGGACAATCTCCTCATCCCAGCCCAGTGAATCACCACAATGGTTCTGTTTGACAATGTTTTCCCCGGTCAGCGCGTGGAAGTCCGGTGGGATGACGGAATTTACAAAGGCACCGTCCGGTATAAAGGGCCCGTAGCGACCAAGAAAGGCGACTGGGTGGGGATTGAATTAGATCGCCCAGGTGACTAGATCTACAGCTTAGCTTATAATATTAATACAGCTCAATGATTGAACACTTTTCTTTCTTTTGAGATTGAGTATCGATAATTGGGACCCAAAGAAAGGGGAAAAGCAAGACGGTTACAGTTTTCAAAGACTAGGCCTGCTAAAAGCAGGATCCAGATAGATCTAGATTCTAGATCTAGATCTAGATCTAGATTTCTAGATCTATATTATGAATGGTCTCTTTCTGTGAGAGAGAAAGAGAGAGAGAGAGGGGTATGTGAATGGTAGGCCTAATTGTAAAAATTACAGTAGAAAGCGTTTTTCCATCTATGAGTGTTCAGAACTTAACTCATTCGCTACATATTATAATTTTGGGCTTTGGACAAATTTTTTTTCGGGAGGTCGAAATGAGATGATGACTAGATCTAGATCTATAGTGTGCAGTTCAAAGGTTTTTGGGGCCACAAATTTAAATAAATATCAATATAGGCCTATTAGGCACCGAAATTTTCAATATGGTTTTTAGAAAACATGATCTGTTATAATCATGTTTATTTGTGTATTTTTCAATTTTGGTTCCTATAACATTCCATAAAATGTGTACATTTGAATCATTATATATCCGATATTAAAAATAATTTTTTTTTTGTAATTTTGAAAAAAGGACAAAATGCATTCAGAAACAGAAAAAACCCTCATATCTTATAGAAATTATTCAGAATTGCGTTTAGAATAAACCTGTACATGTCTTGACTGCTACTTTTTGTGTAATGTCGCAAAAAAATTGTGATTTCAGGGAGAAAAAAAATGTTGACAATTGAGATCTAGGACCTAGATCTAGCACTGAAAAATACTGATTTCTCAATAACAGATCACTTTCAATTTGAGTCCAATAGTATCAATATTCTAAAGAAGAGTCCTACATCTTTGGAGAGCAAAATAATGATACATTTTGTTGTATATTAGTAGGCTACTAAGACTGATGTCTGGGCTATAATTTGGGCATCACAAAAAACAAAGTCGCGTAAACTTCAAAATCGCGATTCAAAACTGAATTACTAAACTTCAGATTTTCGGTGGAAACGCTTGACCCGGAAGTCAATGTTATATTATAACCTTTACTTTAATTGGAATAAAATCTAAGCTAGAATAATTGGTTGGTTCTCAAACCGTCGGGGGCGGCTTGGCATACAGAAGACACTTTTGTCGCGCTGCTGCCCACGGTGTTGATTTTACTGAAAATAAATATGTTGATTAAAGGCCAAAAAGATGTGGATTTTCATTTTCCTCGGACACTCCACTGTCTTCTCTACCAGTGGTTGGTGTTTTGTGATGCTATCTACTGTCTTCTCTACCAGTGGTTGGTGTTTTGTGATGCTATCTACTGTCTTCTCTTCCAGTGGTTGGTGTATTTTGACACTCCACTGTCCTCTCTACCAGTGGTTTGTGTATTTTGATGCTATACTAAACTACTCTTCTTTTCCAGTGGGAGACACCACGGGCATGCTGCAGGGCAGACGCTACTTCCAGTGTCGTCCCAACTACGGCGTCTTTGTCCGTGCCGACAGACTGCGCTTCGTTCCCAGCGTCCGATGGTTCGTATCTCACTCACTCAGCAGCTGCAAGGTGTCAGTGGGATGATGGTTTCCAAATGGCTTTCATATACATGTTTAGGCTGCTAAAAATAGCCCAAATTGAAGAAGCCATTGCAGACTGTAATTATTCTGTACTGTAGGTCTTCCCAGCTTCCTGTACGAATACACCCCCCCCCCCCTCCAAACTGGGTAACAAGTGAACAGGATTTTAGGAAAAAACAAAGACATGGATGGGTAGGAACTGAACGGTCAGATATGTAAGGTTGGACTTAGTGGTTAAACAGTGCTGCCTCTCTATAACGACTTTCGATATAACGACATCCTCTGTATAACGACATGGTGCCCAGGTCCCGATTTTTTCCTTATATATCATTTATACTTTTGGGTTGCCTCTCTATACGACAAGTTTTTCTGGTCCCGATGATGTCGTTATAGAAAGGCTGCACAGTATTGTGATTGACCAGTTCTAAGACTGGCCAGTGATGGTGTACAGGGAAACACGCACGTCACTGCCACGGTGTACGGAAACTTTTAGGCTTTGTGCCCCCGGTGGCCCTCTCTTGTGACGTTTGCCTCCTGGGGGAACAGACGGGATCTTCTGACGACTTTGAAAACTTTCTCTAGAGGATATTCTTTGCTTTGCATGCTCCATAATGACTATAGTTGATTGATTTAATATCTTTGTGTTATATGGGTGCTATTTGTCATACAATAATGATGTTATTGTGATTGTCAGAATAATGCTTTTACTTGCTGCAGGTGTGGAGAAAGTGTTGAAAGTCACCTGACAGTTTACTCGCTGTGAGGCTGATGCCCTGACCACAAACTCTGTTTGGAAGCTTAAATTTGTGTCCTTTTGATTTTGTAATATATATATATACATCAAAGCTTTCAGAATCTCTTTCATGTGAAAAGTTCCACGTACACTTGGGACACATGTGCTCTTGAGTTTGAACTTCTGTTTTATCATCAACGTTGATCAATATTTTGTTTTCATCAACGTCAATATTTTGTTTTTCATCAACGTTGATCAATATTTTGTTTTTCATCAACGTCAATATTTTGTTTTTCATCAACGTCAATATTTTGTTTTTCATCAACATCAATATTTTGTTTTGTCATATACATCAATATTTTGCTCAAGTGTGAAATTATATAGGTTGATACCAACAACAATTGTGGTAACATTTTCCCAGCCTGTACGACAAGTACCACAGAGTGGCCCGGGCCTCGTACATCGACGAACATCTCTTTGATACAGCCAGTAAGTGCACTGTTGTGTCATGTTGTGTACTCACACAATGTTTCACTCTGTTGTTTACTCTTAATGTATCTGAAACTTTCGATTGCACAACTTGAGACATTTACTGACCTTGGAGACAGAAAAAGCAGAGACATTTTTGATTTGTCACCTTTTTTCTTTTGTCCTTGAGTCAAAGTATTGCCATTGCATGTGAAGAGATGATGTTTTAAACATTAACTACTTTCTTCTTAGCGGGATGAAAAAATGAATAAAGAGAAATGTAAGAGGAAGCCCATCACCCATCCCCTAAACAAAATAGTCGGCAAGTTGGCCAGTGAATGAGACGGTTTGTTGGATCACCTTACCAAACAACGAAGCAGTCCCAGAACTACGTGTATTACGTGATGAAAATGTCGTGTTAAAGAGTCGTTGAAAGATGTAATGGAGCTAGTGTGTTAGAGAGAGGGATGTTACAAGCATGTCATTTGTGTCAAGACATATTGGAATCAGGGGCTCCCTATTTTTCAGTTAAATCATCACTAAAATGTGTATTTAAAGACACATAAAAGGTGTTGAGCCAAAAAAAGAAAATTAAGAAAAAATTACCCGTTGGCCAAAAAAAATGCAGATTTCTTTGATTTCATTATTTTGATGAGCACCTGATTTGACCAGGATGCCTCACACTACTCACATAGAATGAAATTGTAGTTTTAGAGAGTTGTTCAAAGACTGGTTTTGTACCTCAGTCAGAGAAACTAAGGGTTTTCCCTGCCTTTTATGCTATTTAGAAATCCTAAGTTGCTGTTTTCTAATTTTCAGGACCAGATGTTCGCAACGGCCCCTATGACCCTGTGGCAGTCTCTCAGAACGATTTCTCACGAGTAAAAAGTTCTTTAGGAGGTGAGGGTCTTCTCGTTATGTCTTCGAATGTTTCTTTCTTTCTTTTTGTTCCTTCACAGGAAAGATGTGCACCCTAACTCTCTTGAGCCTGAGCACCCTAACTCTCTAGAGCCTGAGCACCCTAACTCTCTTGAGCCTGAGCACCCTAACTCTCTTGAGCCTGAGCACCCTAACTCTCTTGAGCCTTTTGGAGGGGTTGTACTGGTTATTGGAGGTCTTATCACTTAAATATTTCGTCTCCCTTGGAGCGTTGAAAAGGGCATTATATCTAGGCAATGTAATACAGTATGGTGTTTCAAACACCACGCCTCCAGCCAGAAGGTGCCTATAGCAACATTGAGAGAAAGAGAAAATTTTCATCTTCGTGCATGCCACGTTATAGCTCCTTACAGAATATTTCAACACTTTGCGGTCGCTTGGCGCAATAATGCGACGCGGAAAATTATCCGTTCCTGTCACCTGTGCCAGGCCTGAGAAGTCCATTGAAGTCACTCGCCTGGCTGGGTGACCAGATGGGATATTTTGTACTGTTGGCTGGGTGACCAGATGGGGTATTTTGTACTGTGTGGCCAGATGGGATATTTTGTACTGTTGGCTGGGTGACCAGATGGGATATTTTGTACTGTTGGCTGGGTGACTGCAAAGTGCTAAAAACAATGGTCTAATCTTTCCACAATTGAGAACTGGGTACCGTAGTCATTATGTTTTCACCTCTGACCCCCGTCAGATTACGGCGTTGCGGTCGGATGGGACCAGCCCAAGTACTACAACCTGCGTCACTCAGTCAGCAACTGTCTCCCCGCGGCGACCATGCTCCGGTCGGAGACTGCCGGCACGCCCTTCAGGTAACGGGTGGGTGGTTGGTGGGTGCTCTGGTGTGGTTTGCTTCTTCTTTCCTATCGAACATCTATCATTTTTATCTCTCCTCCTTCTCTCTTATGTTTGTTACTCTCTTGTGACACCTATAATCTCTAATCTTATAATATGACCTTATTGTGTGGCAAGTGCCGTAAAACTCTTACCCCAAAAAAAATCAGGTAACGGAAAGTTCTGGTTTTCCCAAGTGGTCAGATGTCGTATCTCCATTTTTAATAACAGAGAAAAATCGTTCATAACAAAGAGTGAACTTAAGGAGAAGTCACATTTTCTCTGTTTTAAAAAATAGAGGTACGACGAGAAAGCACGGAGGTAGCGATTTCTTGTCAAGAAGAGATAGTTGCTGATGCCACTTTTCTATGAGCCGTTTTGTAGAAATGATCTTTTTTGCAGAAGAGAAAAAAACACAAAATGGAGATATGACAAGAAAGCACTGGGGTCGCGTGGGTTGATGCAAGAGGAGATAGTTGCCGATGCCACTTTTCTATGAGCCGTGTTGTAGAAATGATCTTTGTAACAGAAGAGAAAAACAACAACAACAAAAGAAAAGTAAACGAATGATTGTGTCCAGTCCTCTGAAAGTCTTGCACAGTTTCTGTGAGTCGGTCTCTCTTGTCTCCTGTGTCTGTGTCTTGAGATGTTAATGAGACATCTTGTGTGTTTTTTTCTGGCCAGGTATCTGTCTCGACCTTACCACGTAGACTACTGGATGGACGATGACTTTGAGAGAAAGCCGTCCATCCCCAAGACTCACATGCCCCACTCAGCTCTCAGACAGCAGGTAGGATATATCAGACAGCAGGTAGGATATATATGTATGCTGAGACAGTAGGTATGCTACACGTGCAGGTAGGGTGTTGTGACATTGGTACATGTACAAATCGTGTACAGCACTGAATGAGGTGGGTCCATGCGCTGTGTTTACAGAGAGGAAGTGTATTGTTGTGTGTTTACAGAGAGGAAGTGTATTGTTGTGTGTTTACAGAGAGGAAGTGTATTGTTGTGTGTTTACAGAGATGTTTCCAGACTCTGGGAGTAGCCATGTCCAATAAATCTCGTATGAGAACTGACCCTGGTACCATTTCTCCATTTCTCTGATTGTTTCCACTGCTCAGTGTGATGCAGCGTCGTACGCCACTTTTCCAAACAGTGTATGGCGGAGTCTGACACTAAACACTTGGTTTGTTCTGCTTTGAAACACCACTGATTTCTGTCCTTTCTAGAACTGTGAGCTTTGGTGCGGTGACTTTTTATATATATATTGATGAGAAGAAAATCCGCACTTGGCAGAAATGGGCGAGGTGTATGTTGTGGATGAGGAGATTATTGTTCTGTGGTGAGGTGTGCTTGGTGGATGAGACAGGAAGAGTATTGTTGTGTGGTACATGAGACAGAAAGGAAGAGTATTGTTGTGTGGTACATGAGACAGACAGGAAGAGTATTGTTGTGTGGTACATGAGACAGACAGGAAGAGTATTGTTGTTTGGTACATGAGACAGACAGGAAGAGTATTGTTGTGTGGTACATGAGACAGAA